ACATATGTTTGATTTTTTTTGTTTATTTATTTCTCTTGTAATAGCGTGTAAAGTAGTACAGTACGGACTTTCCTCCATCTCGTCCATTGCGCTCTTCACTCCCGCCCTCCATCTGAATTCCGCGCGTCATCATAATGGATTGTGAAATACTGTAGTGATACTCAACTTTTGGACTGATTTTACATGTGCTTCACGACGCAATCGCGCAGGGAGTTCCCACCGCGTCTCAAACGCAGCATCTCGTTCCCTCTCAGGGCACCAAGGTTACATACGTCTTTCAACACATCTTGACAAGTTTGTGCCTGATTTGAATGTATAGATGAATACATGGGTAAAATAACTAAAACTCTAATCAGCAGCTTTCTAACATCCTTCTGCCTTCTGTTTCTGCTGTGAGGTTCATCATGATCACAACACTGATTTTAAGCTCACTTGTTTATGGGGTTAGTCATGAGATTTAGAATATGTTACACACACACAGTCCCGTGGGAGCCTTAAAGAGCTCTTCACTATTCCATTCTCTGTGTTTTTCTGCAACTGTTTTCCTCAAACAATCTGGTGTTTCTCTCGTTTTCCTTCATGGCCCGAGGTTGCATTTGCTTGGGATTTTTGGCTAAAGTGGTAAACGCTCCTATCTCACCCAACCATATGTCAAGCATCTTGCCTCAAAAGAATACCACTCCTTCTCTCCTCTCTCTACTCTCAGATTCTCTTATTCAAGCTGAGAGTCAGTGATTCTCTGAGAGAAAAAAAGGCTTTTCAATGAGTTTACTAATGGGCATGTGCTCTCATGAGCCAGTCAAGTGACTGCGGGTCCACTGAGGATTATAGACAGCTGGTTGAGAACAGCGGCTGGTTTTGTCAGTAATAATATATAAGGCATCCGCTGTTGATTCTCCAACATTCCTCTGGAGAGACATATAAAGCTGTATGAATCACAAACAGGAAACTGCTAAATATTGCTGCAAAGATACAAACAGTTTGTAAGCTGTATTTCATACATAACGCTGATCAATTCTATGCAATGCTCTTTCAAGACTCATTATTTAACTAAAGACAGCAGCTACATTATCTAACTGCATTGTATCAGTGTTTTATTTTAAAAAGCAGAATTCAAATTGTGCAGGTTTGTTAATCATGTTTCTCAAATGAAGCATATTTTTTAATAGCGGCCTTAGGGGCCCTGTTTATTAAGATGCGATTTGGTTGATCGGATCACAAGTGGACGGCGCTAAATACAGATGTAAACAGGGTCTAAAACATTTTGAGCTTGTCCACTTTTGAAACCACATTTGACCGAATTGCTTTTCATGTGGTTGAATGTGTTTGAAAAGCCACAAAAGACTGCCTATTCTCTGTCTACTGACCTAAAGCATTAACATTATGGGAAGCGTGTCAGTCGGAAGGGATTTAAATTTGTTGGCTGGAGATCCAATTTTGGTTTGAAGATGAAAAACGTACCAAGCACAACGTTCTCTCTCTCTATTACTGATTTCTAACCAGTGTTGGGTGTAACTAATTACTAAGTAATTAGTTACTGTAATTTAATTACTTTTCCCTTGAAAATGTAAAGTAAGGGATTACTCTTCATTTATCTGTAATTTAATTACAGTTACTTCTGATGTAATTGAGGTAAATATTGTGTATAGATCAATCCGATCTCACAGCGATTCGTATGCATTTTAAGAGGTGTCTAAATATTACGACCGCACTCGTACAAATTCGTATGAATTATTGTAAAATATGTATGGAAAACGTGTGAAATGTAATGAGATCAGACACAAAAAAATAGTGGGTTTAACATCAAAATATATTGTCTGATGTTAAAAAGTATGTTTTTATAATGTAACCTTCTCCACCTTGATCAGTTTAAGGATAATTCATGCAATTTTAGAGTTTGAAAGAATTAAAACAGATTCATGTCTATCCTTGTATTATTCAGCTGGTTGAGATTGATATGGGATTTTGAAAGTAATTAGTAATTAAAAGTAATTAAATACTTTTTAGAGAGAGTAATTATAGTACAGTAATCTAATTACATTGTTGAAGAGGTAATTAGTAACTAGTAATTAATTACTTTTTTAGAGTAACTTACCCAACACTGTTTCTAACTCACAATCATCGCGTTCTGTGTTGTCTTGCGGCTGTCAGAGCAGAAACGATAGCTGATGCTCTCTGCATGTTTTTCCATCTTCTCCAAGCACATATGTAATTGTGTGAGCTTATTTTGTCAATTAGATTAAAAGATATGAAAACAAACAAACAAACAAACATATTTACCCGCCCATAGATCCTCCCTTCAAAGAAATGCGGAGAGAAGTGGTCGAAAGTGGACAAAAGAGATTAAAACACCAGGTGTCTCCCTCATCTGCTTGTGGTCCGATTGAGCAAAACTCATCTTAATAACAGGGCAATAGATACATTTAAAAAAATAATAATAATAATAATTGTATGTATACAAAGACATATTCTGGCCTGTCGCTGTCATACAGTCTCATCATCATACAAAGGTAATTGAATTTGCGGTCACAATTATTAGTAATTTTGCTCAGACAAGAGCATATATTGTAACTGTTGATGCAGAGTCAGTAGAAACAGAACGAAATGTAAAAATAATTTGAAAAACAAAATAAATTCAAGATTTTTTTTGTTGTTGTAATTTTTAAACCATTACAAACAAAGATATCATCAACCATTATAATTTACTTATGTTCCAAAGTCATAAAATCAAAAGCTAAAATTCTTCTAATTAAACTAATATAATAAAATATTTAGGACCAGAGCACTGATGGTGTGATGACCCTATTTGAATTGCTCTGTTTATTTGGACTTATTATTATTATTATCATTTAACAAAAAAAAAAAAAAAAAAGTAAAACAGAACCACCCCGGCACCAATTGTAACACAGTCCATCACTGGTTTAGTAACCTCTGGTCCATTAGAGTCACAAACACAGATGTGCAGACTGTCCTTCATTTAACTAACCCGAAAAAAAGAACATAAAGAGCAACAAACGTTTTCTTTGCTATTTTTTTCCCCTTTACATTGTGGGGGATTTGGATGTTAGGGAACAGAAGATAAATCAACATTTTGGCTTGCTGTTATGTTCCTCTGAGGAACACATACACACACTCACTCAGCGTTTGTCCTGTAGCTGGTAAACATCTGTAACCCCTCTGGTTCCTACTTCGTTTCATCCTCCTCCAAAAACAAAGCAAAGTCTTGTCCTATTTCCCTTATTTATTCTCCCTCTTCTCCCGGCGTAGCTTCTTCCCTCAAATGTTTCGATCTACAGTATCTTTGTCCCTGTTTGATTATTTAATTTATCTTTCTTTCAAAATAAAATGAAAAATAAAACAAAACATAACTTAAAATGTCACATCAAGAAGTCATCAATTAGCATTACTCTGAGAGTCAGCTTATGCCCCATTGTCAACAAACAAGAGGTAATGGCCTGCTGGTTCTTTGCAAATGTATCCAAATTTCAAAGCCTCTGATCTAAAATATAATCTTGTAACTTTTCATAGTTTCTGATCTGTTTCTGTCACAATGCTTTTAGAATGACAAAAAAGCAAAACAGAAAAGCCTATAGAGTAATAAGATGGGGATGATGACAAGATGGGGATGATGTCATTATTTTGAACACAAACATTTTTCTTGAGACTCATGAAACCCTTTTCCAACAGTCACTTGTTTTTTTGTTTTTTGTTGTTGTTATTTTTGGAGAACAATAAAAAGTCAGTATTTCTACTTTTTTGAGTGTCAGTTTTCATTATTTTAACAGGCTACACACAAACATCAAATGAAAGAAAGATGCGGAGTGAAAGTATATTACAAATGCTAAGCCATGAGGTTCATATTTTAATAGTTTCAATATGAAATATCAATTCACGAGTTCACACATACATATATTGGATAAGATTAAATGTGTATTTGTCGTGCTGTCCGGGGGGAGGGCTCAGAGCTCTGAGTTTGGCCCAATGTAAGTGTTTAGGAATGGAAGTGTGGAGAAGGGGCAGTGGAGGGAGGCTGCTAAACCCTCAATGGAGTGAGGTGAGATTGCTGAATCTATATATAAACCTCTTATCATTGATAACTGAACGTGCTCTTCCTGAAACATCATTTAAAATATCACAGCATACCGAACATTTCCGGAAACATCAGAATAAATTTGTAATAAATGTCAGGAAATGTCAGCCCCAAACCTACAGTAGTTGCCTTGTAGAAACTTTAAAATGGTGATCCAATAAGTACATGGATTTTACAATATTTTAATTTGTTTTGATGGGTATCTTTCTAACAATATTGGAATGCTAGAAATATTTCATTCAGTTCATTTCCACACTTCAGGAAAAAAACCCAAAACAAAACAAAAAAACTCCACTACAGAGAACTGGCTTGCAAGATTGGAAATTTCATCAAGCAAACGACACTTAGCACTATTTCTTTTTTAGGGGGGTATTTTTACCATTTATTGATTTGCATAATTCCCGCAGGTGCTGAAAACAATAGTAAACAGTATGGGTAAATAAGGGACACTATCAGCTGGCACAATTCAGTCATGGTGAATTATACCCAAAGTGTACTAATACGGATTTCTGTTTATTATCAAGAGCCTTGCTGTATTTCATGTGCTTGTTATGCTGTTGGCTATGTTTTCACAGCTGGTTGCTTCTGATCTAGTAAACATATCCCATATCTCACATTTAGAGCTATGGCACCAATATATATATATATATATGTATAGTAATGTACACTATATATATCATACCTTACATACAAATATGATTACACACATCTGTACACCACACATTTCGTTGCCAACATACACAAACCACAAACCTAATTTCAGTTCCACATGGTGAGTGAAATTCAGAGCAGTTTGCTGTTCTAAATGCCACCAAGCCACATCCAAACACATCCACTTGATAACGCTGCACTCTCTTGTCACAGATCGTGCTGATATTCAGTATAGCGCACACAACTACAGAATACTTACGAACAGGTATGAGTGATGAAGTGTCAAAGTTGCTTTCAGCAGAGGTTGCAGTAAATGCTTGTGCTGTGGAGTTGGCCATTACAGACACGTGAAGGAATATTTGGCAGTGAGATTGAGGGGGACAGCTGTGGGAGAGTGTTCTCAGGGATGATGAGATGTCTGTAGAAAGAGAGAGAGGGCAATTGCTTCACTCAAGTGTGCTCTCGGGGAAACAGTGAGGAAATAGCAGGAGAGTTTCTGTTTTTTGGTCTGAGATAAAGCACACATGACAGATTACATCATCCGAATCCCTATGTGAATAGTGAATCATATTTGCACTTGAATTTTCCAATGTTAACCATTATTTATATAAGCCACACTGCATATTTACGTTTTTATTAACACGTTATTTTGCATGTTTATTAAGTTTTCCTATTGTGGTATAATAACCACGATGTAGCCGATTTCAGGTCAAATGTTGCCATAATGTAAACAAAACCTGACCCCCCAGGTTTTTTCTATTAGACCATATAAAGATAATGTGACCCATTGGCAGCAAAATGGCACAGCATTGCACATGTCGATCCGAGGCTTGTGTGTATTTTATGAATCTATGTTATAAAGTTTCTTCACATTTCTGTAAAAAAAGAAGGCTAAATCTTAAAATGATAATTTCCTGGCTTTTGACCAGGTCAGTGGAGCATATTACAAATAATTCAAAGAGGGGAAAATGTATAAATGACTATTATTTTATATGTAAATCATTGTAAATCAATAATGACGTGACGGGAAAGCATGGCGACATACTCAGAATTTGTCCTCTGCACTTTGGAGTAGACACTGATTCTCAATACCACGACCTTCGGGTTACAAGTCCGACTCTTAAACTATTAGGCCACAACTGCCCCACATTAATCTGTTAATCTGTGCTTAATTTTAAGTGGATGCAGGAAACTCCCATTTTGCTGACTGAGTCCCCACACACAGCTGTCAGATGTGCAGTCCACTTAAAACGCTTGAGTTTTAAGTGAGTGTGCTCGCTCTACACATTAGGTTCTGGTAACTTGATCCTGATAGATATGGAGTAAAATTTTTTGGTTTTTTATTCAGCAAAGCATTTAATTGACACTAAAAGCATTTAAAATGTTACACAAGTTTTTGTTTCAAAGAAATGCTGTTTTTTTGTTGTTTTTGTTTTTAAATGTGTCCTTATTGAATATGCTACATGTACTCCCCATTAGTAATAACAGTAAATTTTTCATAACTAACCCTCAACCAAATCCTAATCCTTCTCTAACCCTATAAGTACATGTTGTTAATTAATAATACTTAGTAAATGTAAAATTACATTGTAATAAATGCCACATTAAAATTAAAAAAACAAAGACTTTTTATTTATCAAAGAATCCCCCCAAAAATGTTATAGTGCCCACAAAACCATTAGAGCACTACTGTTTTTAACATTAATACTAATAAATGTTTATTGCAAACCAAATCATAATATCGAAGTGATTTCTGAAGGACCACGAGAGAGCATTATTGATTCTGTTATTTTCCTGTTTATTACTGTGAAGCTGCTTTGAAACAACCTGAATTGTATAAAGCGCTATATAAATAAAAGTGACTTGTCTTGACAGAAGACTGAAATAATGGCTGCTGAAAATTCAGCTTTGTAATCATTGGAATAAATGAATGCAGGCATGGTGAGCACAGGAGAATTCTTTCGAAAACATAAAACAATCTTACAGACCCCAACTTGCTGATACCCAGCTGTCAGCCCTAACATACAGTAAATGTTTAGGTACTATAGACAGAAGTTCTGTCAACTGTAGATATGATATGTTGTAAACATAGTGCTTTGTGGCACATTCAATTAAACTCAATGGCTCTTATTTATCATTTGTTGACCCTTTAAACAAAGGAAGAGGCCTTTAAAGACTCTGGACCTTATCAACAAAAGAAACCCACACAGTATTTCCTTCTCTCTTCACTCAGTGTCCACACCCAGTGCTTCCTTCCTGAAATCAAGCAATTGACTTCTATTTGCATATATAAAATGCATCTTACACTGACATTCTTGTGTTTTTAGTTCGTAATATTTGCAGGATAAGAATGATAGAAATTTTACCTGTTTTAAAAGATGGACTTGACAATGCTACTAATTTATAACTTTGTTTGATTCCATGAAGCTGTGTCAATGTTTATGCCTGCGGCTGAATTAAGAGCTTTCATACAAGGAAGGAAGGGATGCTGCGGAAGCCACATCCTGCCCGAAGGGAGGGAACATGTGGACAATACACAAATGAACTGAGGGGATGACCGGGCAGTACAACATATGAAATGTCACTGGGTTGGCTCCAGCCTAAGACAGGGGGGAGACTCAACCAGACAGTGACAGCAGAGTGGGCTCTGCTAAGGGAAGACCAGGGGTCACCGCAGGGAGCCATACTGTGGAAGAATACACATATGGGATTGCCGTAGGGATCACAACATATGGACCCAGCCTAACACAGGCTCCACCAGTGTATACAAGTGATAGGCCTGGCTTCGGAAGTACTGCCACATCCTTTCCCGAAGGGTATGGAAGAACTCGACAGGGTTCGGCTAAAAAAGGGGAACTCAACTGGAGCAAGAATTGCTCATGTTTCTAGTCCATAAGAGGGGAATGGTGCAGCAAGCCGACACAACAAACCGGGCTTACAGTGAACTGGCTTCATGTGAAGGGACCCCACAGGAAGCAGCGGTTCGAATAATGTGTTGTCCAGCCCCCAACTCTCGATTATCTATCAGCGAAGCACTCTGTATCAATGCCGAAGCGAAAGCACACACTCATTTAAGAGGAGCATCTCAGGCATTTCATCAAGATAAAGGCAACCACATTTTCAGTGGGCCAACCTCTCTTGGAAACAGCCTTCCCTCTCTGATGATTTCCTTAACAGATAAGAGCTTCTCTGAGGTCCTAAGGCTTGCGTTCTGACCACATATAACCGGAATGAAGCAGACGGACAGAGAAAGCAAGGGCTGGGTCTGCCTCCTCCGGGGCAGCACTTGCAGGCTCACCACCTGAGAGGTAGGAACTTGGGCACATATCCAGACCAGGGTCTCAGCTAGTGAGAGTTAGCTGGCCCGAATTCCAGGCACAAGTTGTTGACCGAAAGCGAGCAAGTCCCTACCCTCTAGCAGAGACCATAACTCACTGCCTGCAGTGGCTCAGGGGTGGTCCCCGCAGTGCAGTAGCACCAGAGACAGGCCCACGAGGATAAAGAGGGGCGCAGGGATGAGCCTGGCTCCCTCAGGAACCTGACGATCAGGACATGCTTCCCATGCTTCTGCATATGATGTTCATCATATTGAGGGTGAAGGAACGGCCAACTCCAATCCAACTTGCAGGAAAGAGAGCATTGAAATGACTGAACGCTCTCAGGATCTCCTCACAGAGAGAAGACTCTAGCCTAACACACTCTTCTGACACACCACTTCCGTATTTATAGCCACGCCGCGGGGGCGGAGTGCCAATTCCATTGGCTCGTTCAATAGTACTCAAAGATGATTGGCTCCCTGGTGTGATCCCCATTCAGTCGACATCGACTACGTCTGATGTTCTCGACTGAAAGGGAACCCTAATTTTCCAGACAAATATAGTGTCTACATATGAATGTTTTTGCAAAACTTGGACTGCATAATGAGGAAAAAGCAGCCAGCAAGTTCCCAACAAGGAATGAAGTGAAGACAATTTAAAAGCATCACAAATGACACCTCAAGATATTGGTTGATAGGTTTGAAGTTTTGATAGGGCCATTTTATACAAAATTACACATAGTAAAAGACAAGACAATCATGTCATCATTCACTCATTCATCTTCATGTCATTTCAACCCGGCAGAACTTTTTTCTTCTGTGAAACATAAAATTGGATACATGTTTTTTTTTTTTTTTTTTTTTTTTTTGCACATGAAATACATCAATGGGGTTTAATGTTGTTTTCAAAGATTTCTTCTATATTGTGTTTCATCAAAAAAAGTCATAAAGGTTTAGATCGATGAATGAATTTTGATTAATAATGAAGTAATGTTCACTTCAGTATGAACTACCCTACAAGTTGATTGTCAAATTGTAAAACAACAACAACAACAACAAAATAGATATATTATTCTCTGTATGTTTGGAGTTGCCAATAATGGAATATGTGTGCCACTTAAAAGAGCAGGGCAGATGTCCTCACCACTGTTTGCTGTTATATGCTGACCTGGCATGTTTGAACTCTGTCACTCAACACCTCTAAACTACCACAACCCTTTCAAGGACCAGTCATGAAAGACCATTTATGAAAGAAAGCCACAGTTTTATATATAAATGTAACACTTTGTTCTGACCATGGGAGAAAATCGAGGCAGATGCATAGAACAACTTTTTGACAGAATACTTTGCACCATCTTAAAAAAAAAAAAGAAAAAAAAAGAAAGTATTTACTCATTTAACACTTTACAACTTAATTTGTAACTTTCCACTCATTAAATCTAACATTTAAATCTGCAAAGCAACTCACCAACTTTTCCTTAACAGTTCTCCCACAGCCTGCAAGCTTGAAAACCCTTTAGGAATAGAAATACTTCCTCAACTCAGGCTGAGTTGTTCTTTTACTTTCTAACAGGATGGGAATAATATTATGAATCATAGCAGAGGTCTCTTTTTTTATCCGTTAGGTTTAAATGTATAGCATATGAACTTCCCCTTTCAGCCCTCTCCACCCTTAACATACTGCTTTACCAATGGTTTCTTGTGTTCGACCACTGGCTGGGCAGGCTCCTCCTCCAAAATAAGGCACAACTGAACAGACTCCTCCTCAGGAATAACACAGCTGTTGTCAGACTGAGCACAGGGAAGGGGAAAAACAGAGGCAATAGTTACGTGAGAGTTCAGATTAAGTGTATGGTGAAATCTTGCATTTTCGAGAAGGGTTTGTCTGTATCCCTCAGTACTACAAACCACACCCTCTCAAGTTACGCCTATCCTGTGAAGAAACAAGCTTGGATGTCATTGCCTAAAGCAATCTTTTCAAGTACATTTATGTTATGTTTAGTACAGTCAATGTAATTAAAATTGACTCTATAGTTTCATAATTAAAATCTTTAAAAAAGGGGGAAAAAAACAAGATGAACAAAACACTGGTACTTATTTTTTATTTATTTATTTATTTTTGTTCTATATAGTATGAGTGTCTGTGTGGTATGAATATGGACTACATCCGCTATGCTTTCATTATCATGTGACCTACCAGCATTGGTTGTTTCGTTTTTTTGTTATTAACATTATTCATTTGGACCATTAATGAAAACGATCTAACAATTATGTATAATGAAATTAATTAAATGATTCAGCTATATCAATATTTGCTCAGAAAAGCCCATATATTATGACAATTTGATAATAAATTGTATATTATATTAGTGTGCAGTTGTAATGTGTAATAATATCCATAATCCTCTTGTAAGTATATAAATATATCGTAATGTTCAAAACTGCCCTTTCAAAATGTACACATTTGTACCGCATTTACCCCTAAAGGGTAAATAATACCTTATTGTACATATTAGTCTCAAAGTGTACATGCTATACCTTTTGAAACTGTACTGACAGTTTTTGTACCCTTTTTCTTAGAATGTGTAGAGCACCCTTAGTTTTGGCTGTCCAGTTATTTATTGTAACTGCTAAAGGCGGCAGGAAAAGCAAAAGCAGTGGATGAAGGACTAGAATAAATTAATGAACATCCAGTCACGCTCATCTTCACACCTGCCAACTGCAATCTCACACCTAGAAAAATAAGCTACAATTTAGCAAATAGTCACTATAGCTCCAGCCATCTGTCACAGGATCTACATGAAGGACTCGTATGTGTTAATTCAGGTGTGTTATCCTGCACAGTCATTTAAAATCTTTGATTATCTCTATAATAATGGTACACGATCATCAACTTTCTCTCTCAACTCAAGATTTGTTAGTTCATGGAGCATGTGCACATGAAAGTGTGTCGTAGTGAACAGCCAATCACATGCCTTGAAACACAGATAAACTGTAATTCACTTGCAAGAGAATCAGAGAGATTCTTTTGTCTCTAGAGATTTGGAGATTGAAGAATATAAAGTACATAAATGCATTTACACAACAAGAAGAAATAGTTGACAATATGCTACTGATTCCAAATCTAATTTATATAAAACAATAATGTATATTCATCTACACTAAATGCTTAATAATCCTTAAACTAAAATTGCTTGGATTAGGGGTATAATAATTATGTAAATAATTATAATAAGTTGTCATCGCTATAGCCAGAAAATTTTGTCTTTAAAAATCTCTTACTATGAATCTGTTATAGTGACCTTTCATTTGGAGCAAGAGAAACTAGTGGCTTTATCGCATCAGACATGTGTCCCTTTGCTCACTGCTGATTGGTCTAACTTTGGTTTGACATCTCTTACACAGAACATTACTTGGCCCGGGGCAAGTTAGCTGTGGAGCATAATTTATGATGATGAACACAGCTAAAAGCCGAGCCATGCACTTTCATGTGTTTAAAATCCAGGGTCAGTACAAACTAAACTGGAACATTATACTGGCTAGGCACCTAAACCGACTTCATAGTATATAGGCCCCAGGATGTTCTGGGCACATACATCAAACTCTAGCTTCAATGTACTTTGAATGAAGCAAATCATCTTAAATGTGATTATATCTGCTAGCTAAGCACAGTGTGACTATATAAGGGCTTTAATTATTCATCAAACTGCAACACCTATGAAATGCCAGCAGTTTCATTAAATATTATGAAATGAAGTATACACTATCATTAAAAACTGTGTGATCAGTATAAATATAAACAAATTAATTGTTTTTCTGTTTTCAATTAATTTCACTTCTTGAGTGGTGCCAACGAGTCTGTTTCATTTCGATTGACAATGACATTGTGACATGAATTTAACTCAGTCATGTCAGAGGAGACTGGGATTTTAATTGCCCCCCCCCCCCCCTCCCTATAAAAAATATAAAAAAATTAGGGGTGACTTGTGACTGCTGGATAGCACATATGCTGTGCAAACTGTTTTTCCATTTATGCTTTGCATGGACCAGATGTTGTCCCATTCTATTCCTGAAATCCATCAATGAATTGACAACATTTCTTCTGCTGCATACAGTGCTTTCTTGAGAAGTGCCATGTATGTTTAAAGACGTCTTAATTAACTGTTAATTAGCACAGCAAATCTAACCGAATAAATTAGACTGACTAAGAGAACTGAGACTTCCTGACATAAACTAATAGATCCCCTTTAAAGATTTATCACCTAAAAAAAAGAAGGGGGAAAAGGAATATTCTGCCAACATTTACTCACCATCATTCTATAATCTGTATTAATTTTCTTGGAACACGAACTGAAATATTTAATCAACTGAGGCCCATTGGAAAACGTGTCTTTGGCAACATTTCTGCAAAATGATATTGTGTAGCTTGCACGTTTTGCAAGTGAGTGCATTAAAAGTGCTTCCAGTGCACGAATCTGCCACCCTAAGGTAGTGTTAAAAAGCGAACGTGAGGAAAAGCACATTTGCTGTGGCAACAATGCACTTTAGCTTCTTTCTACATGTTTTTGAGCTCTTTGATCTTTTTCACTGTACTCATAACAGACTGTATCAAGTGCAATGGTAAGCATAAAAAAGCCATACAACCTGCTTATGTGATGTAGCTTGTCATAGTTTACAAATTGTGCACAACGGTAAAACAAATTTGAGGTCATGACAGTGTTGTGCAAGAAAGCATGCAAAAATAAGTTTTTATTAATCAATAATATGCCCCTGAAATCTTAATTTGTGTGAAAAGGCCAAAGGAATAAAAATGTTTTACTGCCCTGAATGTGTAAATGTAGGTGCATGGAGGCTTGTGTTGCAAGTTAATAGATTCAGTAGTTGAGCTAATTAGAAGTTTAATTATCCAACATTAATGATATATGACACCCACAATCAATAGATACTGAAAACTCCCGGTAAGAACAGTCGTTTGTTTGGATAACCAATCCAGCCTTCAATTACAAGTTCATGTTCTGCCGCTTTGCGTTTCAAAGAAATTTGTATCGTTTTCAACGATACCGTCACCACAAAACTCCCCAGAAATCCACAGTGTCTCTTAGCTTTTGTGACAGTCACTCTCTCATTCTCTCAGCCAACAAGATCTCTCATTCTCTAAGCCAACAGTGTTTAGACAGACCTCTGATTGGCTGCCAGTGAGAACATTACAGTCTCCTCACACACAGACAGAAATCAATGGTTAGGAAATTGTGCAAAGAAATAATATTGGCACTTCTACATGTGTAACAAGGTGTTATTTTAAATAGTAGTAACATTACATGTTGGTAATGACCTGAATTTGTTTTTGGAGTTTTTATGGTCTGATGTCTTCAGCAGAATTTAGATTCATAAAATTAATTCGGCTACTAACTCTTTAATTCAGTTAAATAACTCTTTATTGTGTTGGTACCCCAAAAGACATTCTACTGACTAACTTAAGTACATCAACTTATTCTAACTACTAATATTTACAATTTCTCACTAGAAATTATATCAGAAGAACATTGGTCAAAAACCTACATTTACACATAAACTGACTACCAACCACAACTTGTTTTAGACAAGTCATTGTTTTAGAAAACTGGTCTTGATGCTATTCGGCATCTCTAAATTTCTCTTTAGAGAACCCAACTTGTTCATAATCACCCACAAAAAACAACCTTGAGAAAAAAAAAAAATAATTGGTTGTGTCGACTTCCTCACTTGACATTGGTTTGATGGTTTTCAATCAAAGACAGTCAATCCCCTGCTGTTTAAACTGCATCCGAGGGAGCACTTGAGTGTAAACCATGATCAAAAGCTGATCATAAACAGCAACTAAGACAAAATATAAAGACTTTTCAGGTCGCACAAGGAGAGACGAAGTCGTCAAATTACTGACAGACATGAGTAGACTATAGAATCCGGAGATGTGCGCAGTCAACCAGAGCGAGTCGGTTCATCAGTGTTAACAACCCAGGACTTTAATGAGGTACTAACTCAAGACTCCAGTAGGATTTCACCTCCGTTTATCAGCTTCTCTGTTTTCTAGCACTGATTGGATCTGGAAAATCAATCTACATCACCAAATTCACTGAAAGCATCACCAACAGCAACAATGCAATATGCAGCTAACTGATATTATGCATCCAACAGGGGGTGCACTGGTTCCTCATCACAGAACCAGGAAGTTCTTTGCTGTTATAATAATTTCACTTCAACTCGATTCTGATGGTTACTACCAACATAACTTCTAACTTTTTTTTGCTTAACTCTAAAAATGGATACACATTGAATCCAGTTTTCTAAAACAATGCCTAGCAGGCTATTGGTTAACATTATCAATGTCAATGCAAAAGAAAAGTAAAAAAAAAATTACAAAAAAATAATTAGGAATATGAAGACGTAAAAGACTAACATTCATAGTAACATACACTGATGAATCTTTCACAATAATAGCAGGAATGTGCATTAAATAAATAAAGTTATTATTCTTTGTGACCTATGAAGGAATCATTACATAACCAGTCGATTTCCCCTTCAACTATCTAATTATCCCTGTAACTGTCCTTTTGTCTTCCTTTTCTTTTTTTCAGATTCCCTGTCCACCCCCCACCCCACATTTCACTTAAATCCCTCATTTCATTTATTGTCATTGTCTCTCTCAGCCT